AACATCAGGGTCCATGTCACTGTTTGCTTAACAGCACCAGAGCCGCACTGACCATTAAAGCCAATCGCAGCCGTTTCTGTAGAGCATACAGGGCCGGAGCAAGCTGAACTGCCGCTCTAGGCAAAGGACGGTCACGCCGCCCTCAAACCTAAAGTGAAAACGGGGGGGATGGGGCTCTATTCTGCCGCCCTAGTTGGCGATATAACTGAGGCGCGGGTGGCGAGGGTAGTTTAGAGGACGCCGCCTGAGGCGCGGGTGGCGAGGGTAGTTTAGAGGACGCCGCCTGAGGCGCGGGTGGCGAGGGTAGTTTAGAGGACGCCGCCTGAGGCGCGGATGGCGAGGGTAGTTTAGGGGACGCCGCCCTCTCTATTCTGCCGCCCTAGACGCGGATATAACTGAGGGTGCGGGTGGCGAGGGTAGTTTAGGGCATGCCGCCCTCTCTATTCTGCCGCCCTAGACGCGGGTATAACTGAGGCGTGGGTGGCGAGGGTAGTTTAGGGGACACCGCCCTCTCTATTCTGCCGCCCTAGAAGCGGATATAAATGAGGCGCGGGTGGCGAGGGTAGTTTAGGGGACGCTGCCCGAGGCGCGTGTGGCGAGGGTAGTTTAGGGTATGCCGCCCTCTCTATTCTGCCGCCCTAGACGCGGATATAACTGAGGCGCAGGTGGCGAGGGTAGTTTAGGGGACGCCGCCCTCTCTATTCTGCCGCACTAGACGTGGATATAACTGAGGGCGTGGGTGGCGAGGGTAGTTTCGGGGATGCCGCTTACTCTATTCTGCCACTCTAGACGCGTATGAGGGCGTGGGTGGCAAGGGTAGTTTCGGGGACGCCACCCTCTCTATTCTGCCGCCCTAGGCAGCCGCCTAGGTCGCCTCTATGGACGCGCCGGCCCTGAGAGCGTGATCAATCATAGGTGTTTAAGGACTCGCTCAACAACACTCAAACAGCAAGCGGGATCATACTGACATCAGTTTACTAGCTATAATGCTCGTGTTGTTCTGTGCATGTGCTGATGCATTAAGGAAGAGTGTTTCCTTTCAGCAGGTCAAATTAAAGGTACAGTACATTTATCTGACTGCTCAATATAAAGGACAAAACTGTTTTACAAATAATATATAAATAATAAATATAATTAGAAATATACATTGTAATATGTTATATTAACATTATATAAATCCATATATCTGCTATATTTGCATGTGTGGGATTCCTCCGGTTTTCTCCCACAGTCCAAAAACAAACGACTTAAAGTAAGTCAAATGAACAGATTAAATTGGCACCACAGTCGAGCTCTTAGCAAGCCGTATATTCCCTATAGCCATATCTGTCATTCATTCATTCATTTTCTTGTCGGCTTAGTCCCTTTATTAATGCGGGGTCACCACAGCGGAATGAACCACCAACTTATCCAGCAAGTTTTCACGCAGCGGATGCCCTTTCAGCTGCAACCCATCTCTGGGAAACATCCACACACACATTCACACACACATTCACACACACACTTATACACTACGGACAATTTAGCCTACCCAATTCACCTGTACCGCATGTGTTTGGACTGTGGGGGAAACCGGAGCACCCGGAGGAAACCCACACGAATGCAGGGAGAACATGCAAACTCCACACAGAAACACCAACTGAGCCGAGGCACAAACCAGCGAGCTGAGTGCTGTGAGGCGACAGCACTACCTACTGGGCCACTGCATCGCCCCCTATCTGTCATTAGCCAGAATAAATCAGGGGAGTTCTCCAGATCTACCTGAGCTCAAACTCCCCTCTCGCCCTGCTAACAGGGTGAGCCCCGGGCTGGAGGATGTTCTGAGCTCAGGGCTCTCTCACTCATCAGCTGAGTGAACACACTTCAACATCTCTCTCTGTCTCTCTCTCTCAGCAGAGTGATCTGAACTCCTTCCTGTGGACGATCAAGCGGGACCCTCCGTCATATCTGTACGGCACCATCCACGTCCCGTACACCCGCGTCTGGGACTTCATCCCGCAGAACTCCAAGCAGGCGTTCCAGGAGAGCAGCGTGGTGTACTTTGAGCTGGAGCTGACGGACCCGTCCACCATCTCGGCTCTGTCCCGCTGTCAGCTGCTGCCGGCGGGCCAGAACCTGCAGGACGTGCTGCCGCCAGAACTCTACCTGCGCCTGAAGACGCACCTGGAGTACGTGCGGCTGATGCTACCCTCCTGGATGACCCCTGACCAGCGGGGAAAGGGCCTGTATGCTGAATACCTGTTCAACGCCATCGCCGGGAACTGGGAGCGCAAGCGTCCGGTGTGGGTGATGCTGATGGTGAACTCGCTGACGGAGGCCGATATAAAGACCCGTGGGGTCCCGGTGCTGGACCTGTACCTGGCCCAGGAGGCGGAGCGCATGAAGAAGCAGACCGGAGCCGTGGAGAAGGTGGAGGAGCAGTGCAGTCCGCTAAACACACTCGACTTCTCTCAGGTACAGCTCTATTTACTACTCTGACAACACACACACACTCATGCTAACGTTTGGAGGAATTCAAGTTACGTCCAAAATGACACACTGTACACTTATGGATCTAATACTCATGAGAAATGACATGCCAAAATGTGCGCTCAGTACAAATCTGATTACTTTTTTTTAGATTACATCAAGATTACTTTTGAATTGTCACCAATTATTCATTTTCTTTTCGGCTTAGTCCATTTATTAATATTGGGTCGCCACAGCGGAATGAACCGCCAACTTATCAAGCATATGTTTTACTCAGCGGATATGCCCTTTCAGCTGCAACCCATCACTGGGAAACACCCACACACTCTTACATTCACACTCATACACTACGGCCAGTTTAGTTGATCAATTCCCCTATAGTGCATGTGTTTGGACTGCGGGGGAAACTGGAGCCACGCCACCACGAGGAGAACATGAAAACTCCACACAGAAACGCCAACTGACCCAGCCGAGACTCAAACCAGAGACCTTCTTGCTGTGAGGCGACAGCACTACTCACCAATTACTAAATTACTAATTACTTGTCAAATGTGTGGCTAGCAGTATCTGTCAGATTATAAAGGTATGGTAATGTAATCAGATTACTTTGGAGTACATTTAGATTACTTTTAAACAGTAACCAATTACTGATTACAAATTACATGTCAGAAATGTGCAGTGAGTCACGTAGCCTATTAGATTAAATGCTTATAGTAAAGTAGTCCAGTTACTTTAGATTACATTTAGATTACTTTTACACTTATACATTTAGATTACACACTGACTAGTAATCTGTAATCAGTATTTGGTTACGGTTTAAAAGTAATCTAATTACTGTAATGTGTGGTCAGTAAACAATTGATAGTAGATAATCTGACTACTTTTAGATTGCATTTAGATTATTTTTCAGCTTGCATCCACAATTAGGCGCTGTACACTTATAGACAGAGCCGGGTGGATGACTCGTGAAAAATGTGTAGTCAGTAGTAGGCATGGGATGATAACCGTTTTCAGGTTTTACCGTGGTTTGGAAAAGTCAAGGTTTTAAAACCGCCACTTTGTTCTGCAATACCGTTCCTGAGGTATGTGTAAGATGTTTTATTTACATTCATTTTGTTTTTGTTTTTTGGGACAACAGTGTCTAGCAGAAAAGATCTCCAAAGCAGGTACGTGCACACATAGGAACCTGTGCACATGCCCTTCCAAAGTGATCTGAAGTGCCCTAGCGACCCACACCAACAACCCCCCAACCCAAGGGTCTTCAGTTTTCCCGCAACATATGCCCGCACCCCTCACCCCCAACCCCCCCACCCTCGCTCTTCAAAAAATGTTATTCTGCCAATGCCCCTTTAAAGGTCTCTGCACGGGCCTGCTCCAAAGACACTGTTTTAAAGTGTAAAGAAATCTGTGTGTTTAAAACTACTGAAGACGGCTACGCTAAGTCTGATATGCTTGTAATGTTTACTGTTCTAAAGTATTATAAACTTTTCAGAAAAATTAAATATATTAGTTTCAAAGGAAGAAAATCTTTGAGTTTTTTACCCAGACATTTAAAAAGAATATATTTTAGAGCAGCAATCACAATACTGTGTCCTACTTTATCATTCCGTCAGAATCTTATACCGGCCCATGCCTAGTCAGATACAATGTTAGACTACACATTTACCGTAATGTAATCTGAATACTTTTGGATTACATTAGATACCTTTTTAACTGTAGCCAATTACTGATTACAAATGACATGTCTTCTATGCCAAATTACACACATTACTATTGGATTACATTCAGATTCATTTTACAGTTACACCCATACTTACTATACACTTACACACAGAGCTGGGTGGATTTTTACACAGTGAAAATACTGAAGTATTGCAATTCCAAACAGCTGCTTTGTATGTGAATATAGTAACGTCATTTATTGTTGAGATGTAATCAGTGGTGTAGCGCAAAATGCAGAGGCCCCCCGCAGGGATCACTGACGGGGCCCCCTGATGAAGGGGGGGGGTTTGGTGAGAGACAACACGGGGAAGCGATCACAAATTGAGGAGCGGGGAAGGGAGGCGGGGTGGAGCGACAACGCAGGGAAGCCTTCACAAACAGAGGAGCGATCACAAACCGAAAGCGGCGAGAGCGTCAAAGTAGCCAGAAATCATTCATTTTTCAATGAGAACCGGCGGCGGGAAACAGCGCGGCGTGTCTTCTGCGGTGTGGGCGTCGAGGAGAGTTGAAATCAAGTCAACTTAATGGTATGAGCTATGACGCGGTTCGGCGGCAAGCAATCAGAATGAAGTAGTCCCCCACTTGAGAGGAGTTTGGTGAACACAGACCTGTAAACTTTGGTTCCGACCACAGATATTCCCAAGAGTTTGATTATTGCGGTTGCCGGATTTACAATTATTGAAAATCGTGACGAAGCGAGGCCCCCTAATCACGCGGGCCCGTCCGCTACACCACTGGATATAAAGCATCATCGCTGCAGTGCTCAGATGAACAGATTTGATGATCACGAAACATGTCTGATAATTATTAAAAGTTGTGATACGGTTGTAAAACATATAAAAAATCTTCCAAAATAAAAAGAAACTACAAATGTCTGCAATCTGTCGGCTGTGCAGCAGAGTTAAGAGTGCTTTGTGCAATACTACATTTATAAATCTGTGAAGCTTTGACTGATTCTCCTATTGAAAAGTAAAGCAGATGCGATGCACAAACATCCTTCCTGCAGGGATTGTGTATGAGGAATCGATTGGCTTGCGTTCTTCACTATCTGATGCTGAAATCTAGGAAAGAGCCGTGAAATACAGCAGTGTTCAGGAGATCCATGATCAGGAGATTCTGACAGAGCTGTTTGCAGCAGTGGATCTGAGCTGGATAATAGAGGTAAATGTCTGCCGTGCAGGAGTAATGGTGTCTCAGCTGTGCAGACGCTCTGCTTTCAGACTGTCTGCTCTTATTAAAGTGATGTGAGTGTAATAGTTCACCACTGACTCCGACTCTGAAGCCGCTTGTTGAAGAGAGCCTGTGATTACGGTGTCCTTCAGCATTGAGTTGTGGGCTGGAGTTTGTGTTAATGCGTGACGGAACTAAAGGGATTATCAACGGTAATTTCACCTGACGCTCGCAGACACACGGCTGGATTATGACAACTCACTTCTCTACACACTGAAGACTGATGTACAGCAGCTGCACAGGAACCAGGGATCCAAACACAACACTGACTCAGCTGTAGACCAGACAACTGTCAGGATTCAGTTCAGTGTTGATGCAGATCACTGTTGATTCAGTTCAGTCATGATTCAGATCAGTGTTGATTCAGTTCAGTCATGATTCAGATCAGTGTTGATTCAGATCAGTGTTGATTCAGTTCAGTCATGATTCAGATCACTGTTGATTCAGTTCAGTCGCAATTCAGATCAGTGTTGATTCAGTTCAGTCATGATTCAGATCAGTGTTAATTCAGTTCAGTCATGATTCAGATCAGTGTTGATTCAAATCAGTGTTGATTCAGTTCAGTCATGATTTAGATCAGTGTTGATTCAGATCAGTGTTGATTCAGTTCAGTCGCGATTCAGATCAATGTTGATTCAGTTCAGTCATGATTCAGATCAGTGTTGATTCAAATCAGTGTTGATTCAGTTCAGTCATGATTTAGATCAGTGTTGATTCAGATCAGTGTTGATTTAGTTCAGTCGTGATTCAGATCCGTGTTGATTCAGTTCAGTCGTGCTTCAGATCAGTGTTGATTCAGTTCAGTCATGATTCAGATCAGTGTTGATTCAGATCAGTGTTGATTCAATTCAGTCATGATTCAGATCAGTGATGATTCAGTTCAGTCATGATTCAGATCAGTGTTGATTCAGTTCAGTCATGATTCAGATCAGTGTTGATTTAGATCAGTGTTGATTCAGATCAGTATTGATTCAGTTCAGTGTTGATCCAATTCAGTCATGATTCAGATCAGTGTAATTCCGATCAGTGTTGATTCAGATGAGTGTTGATTCAGATCAGTGTTGATTCAGTTCAGTCATGATTCAGATCAGTGTTGATTCAGTTCAGTGTTGATTCAGTTCAGTGTTGATCCAGTTCAGTGCAATTCCGATCAGTGTTGATTCAGATCAGTGTTGATTCAGTTCAGTGTTGATTCAGTTCAGTCATGATTCAGTTCAGTCATGATTCAGATCAGTGTTGATTCAGTTCAGTCATGATTCAGATCAGTGTTGATTTAGATCAGTGTTGATTCAGATCAGTATTGATTCAGTTCAGTGTTGATCCAGTTCAGTCATGATTCAGATCAGTGTAATTCCGATCAGTGTTGATTCAGATGAGTGTTGATTCAGATCAGTGTTGATTCAGTTCAGTCATGATTCAGATCAGTGTTGATTCAGTTCAGTGTTGATTCAGTTCAGTGTTGATCCAGTTCAGTGCAATTCCGATCAGTGTTGATTCAGATCAGTGTTGATTCAGTTCAGTGTTGATTCAGTTCAGTCATGATTCAGTTCAGTCATGATTCAGATCAGTGTTGATTCAGTTCAGTCATGATTCAGATCAGTGTTGATTTAGATCAGTGTTGATTCAGATCAGTATTGATTCAGTTCAGTGTTGATCCAGTTCAGTCATGATTCAGATCAGTGTAATTCTGATCAGTGTTGATTCAGATCAGTGTTGATTCAGTTCAGTCATGATTCAGATCAGTGTTGATTCAGTTCAGTGTTGATTCAGTTCAGTGTTGATCCAGTTCAGTGTAATTCCGATCAGTGTTGATTCAGATCAGTGTTGATTCAGTTCAGTGTTGATTCAGTTCAGTCATGATTTAGATCAGTGTTGATTCAGATCAGTGTTGATTCAGTTCAGTCATGATTTAGATCAGTGTTGATTCAGTTCAGTGTTGATTCAGTTCAGTGTTGATCCAGTTCAGTCATGATTCAGATCAGTGTAATTCCGATCAGTGTTGATTCAGATAAGTGTTGATTCAGTTCAGCCAT